GTTATTTTGTATATATTGATTGTTGTGTTTTTATTTAGTTCTTAATGTGTGCACCTGTAAAAATGTGTCTTTGATTCTGTATTTATAGGTATATACATATTTGCACACATATTTTTATATAGATTTGTTTTATATTCGGGATTGTGAGAAACTGAGTGAGTATTTCGATCGCTCTGTCTGTACACACAAACTGGAAGATTGACAATAAAGTTGACTTTGACTTTGATTATCCAGGTGAGTATTTCGCAGATGAACCTATTAACCCCGCCCCTTTAAAAAAAAACGGCTCTTTTGAACGGCTCTCGGAAAGGAACGGAGCCATAAGATCCGGCTTCCTTCAAAGAGCCGTAATTCCCATCACTATGCCGCTCTACTTCCCCTAAATGTTCCCTTTCTGCAGCACTGGTCTGACCCTTGACACATTTTTCCCCCGACAGGACAGGTACCGGGTCCAGTACTTCCTGAAATGCTCGTCCCTAAAACCGTAGATCACGGGGCTCAGGAAACGGGGGATGATGTAGACGACCAGGAAGAAGATGTAGCGGATCTCCAGACTGAAGCGAGGGAAAAGAGAGATGAGAGCCGCCTGAAGGGAAGGAACTACAAAGGCCAGCATGCACAGCAGCAGCTGGAACAAAATCAGAGGAATAGAAAAGTATGTTTAGTTATTTATAACATTTACAACACACAATGTGATCTTCTAGGGTATTTGCTTGTACAACTATATGTCCAAATCATTTAAAGTATAGATTATGAAGCTACTAGTCCCCATCTTTAATCGTAAACAGTTTAATTGAGAGGTCACTATTTGTGTTTTTCAACTTGTAGTAGCCTAATATTCAAATTATAAGGAAGAGGACTAGGGCCACATTGGAGAAACAGTTTTGGGATGGGACCAAAAGTAAAAACAAATCAGAGAAAAACTCAGATTTCTGTGGAAAAATAATTTCGAAAATCTCAAAATACTGTCAATAACAGCAGATTAGAAATAAATAAAATAACTGTTGGTCAGATATATGAATAATTTCCCATGTGGCCGTCTTCCGTACATTTACCTGTTAAATCTTAAAGGGAAGCGGTTGTGAAAAGTTCAACTCTTTTTTCTTCACCTGGAAAAAACTTATTTCTTGTCTCAAAAATGAAATCATGTATTTTTAAAAGATCTTAAAAATATTTTCCTGGCAATTTTGTTTTTTTTGGTTTTCAAGGTCGGTTGGGAGGGTTAGTTCTAAGAGAAAAATGGAAGTGGAAGGAAGATCATTGTGCTAACCCTAAACTAACCCTGATAGAACATGTATCCTGGTAAAACTAGTATCCCTTCTTGCCCTTCCTAAGAAAAGTGTCAAAGTTATCTCCAGTACGCCCACCTGCAGTGGGATCAATAAAGTACTTCTTATCTTTCTATATAAACCCACCTGCAGTCCATGGAGCAGCACGGTGTTTCTCGCTCTCTTAACCGAGGCCAGGCCAGTAGAAGCAGCCTGGGCCGCGAGCATTATCTTACAGTAGGTGTAGAGGAGAGTCAGAGCCACGAAGGACAAATAAACCCCGTCAAACACACAGTTCTTATAGTAGATGGACAGGTGGCGGAAGAGCAGCGGGTGGTCGCAGAAGATGGGGGTGTTGAAGAGGGAAAGAGGCTGGTGGACGACGGTGATGAGCAGGTCTGTGAGGGGGGGCGTGGCGGTGAGGATGAGGATGATGAAGATGAGGAGGAAGGTGCGTGGGACGGAGCACATGTGGATGTAGTGCAGAGGGAAGCAGATGGAGAGGTAACGCTCCAACGCCATGCCGGCCAGGATGAGAGGCGTGGAGCGGGTGGTGAGGACCGCCGTCATTATCTGAGGGGACAAA